GCACCTATTATGTCAGGAACTAGTCTAGGCACTAGGGATATAGTAGTAAACAAAACAGTGAAAAGTCCCTGCCCTGATGGAGCTTACATGGAGGAGGGGGGTGCACCTCCTCTGCTGCACAGAGGAAGCAGCAAGTGCACAAGTCCCTGAGCTGGAGCAGAGAGAGCTAGGGGAAGGGTGTTAAGACATCAAGTCAGAGAAGTAGGCTTCGTAAGTCATTATAAGGAAGGATTCCACCTTCTGTCTCAGTAAGATAGGAAGCCACTGGGTCTTGAGCAGAGGAATCATGCAATCAGGATTAGTAAGTTTATTTCCTCTGCCATAGGATCCATGTGAATTATGGTCCTCACACAGTCTTGTATAGCATGGCTTTCATTTGTTGGGAATGTCCTATCTGAGGAGAAGAGGCCACACTGAGGGCTCCACAGTGACTAGTAGCTGAGCAGGTCATCCTTTCAGTGTGGTAAAAAGAGACCCCATGTTGGCTATTTCTGCTTCATTCATACCTAGCGAACACTCACCAGCAGCAATGCCACCTTCACCTAGAGAGGTCAGGAATATGTAAGCTGTGAGGTGATGTCAGCTTTTAATGTTTTAAATGATTTTAATATGTACAAGTATGCCTCTCGAAGGGTTTTGATCTATGTGTTTTTATTGTTTTTGTAAATACCTGTATTCCTATATTTAATAGGAACATTTTAGTTGTTAGTTTTCAAGGCTATATTATTGTATAAGAAATTTATTTGTTAAAAGCTTGAGAAGTGGGCCAGCCCCGTGGCTTAGCAGTTAAGTGCGCGCGCTCCGCTGCTGGCGGCCCGGGTTCGGATCCCAGGCGCACACCGATGCACCGCTTCTCTGGCCATGCTGAGGCCGTGTCCCACATACAGCAACTAGAAGGATGTGCAGCTATGACATACAACTATCTACTTTGGGGGAAAAAATAAATAAAATTATTAAAAAAAAGCTTGAGCAGTGATTTCAAGTTAGTTTTTTAAAGATAGGTTTCATCTCAGAGGCCTTCTAGGATGAAAAGCTTCTATAGTTTAAAAATGAAATCAGTCAATGAAACAGTGAATCCAACCCTCACTTTCTGGTGCATATCTTCCCCTAGTTTAAGTCCTTTTCTCCTTTGACAGATGAAACGTCTGAGTGCCATCAAGAGGCAGCGGGATAAGCTAATAAAGGAAGGGAAGTACACGCCTCCACCTCACCACTTGGGCAAAGAGGATCCTAGGCCGTGAGCGGAGCAGCTACTGATGGCTAGAGGCTGATTTTTGTGTTCTCTCTTCTCCACTGGAAAGTTTCTGTACTGAAAACCTCTTTGTGAAAGTGTCTGAAAATAAAGGATTGTGCCATCTTATTTGTTCTATTTTCTCTTGGGTCATATATTCCTGTAATGAGATTGCAACTTATTTTTTAAGTTTGGAAAAATGCCTCTACCTCTGCCTTAAAAATTAGCATCTAGGGAATAATGAACAGCATTGAACGCTTTCTATGTATGAGGTACTTTAAATATGTTAACTCATTTAAGACGTTGCAGTGTTCTTTAGTGCTTTCATTCTGGTTTATTTTCCATAGAGCACAGACTTGAGCTGGGAGGAGGAGGCAGTAGAGAGAGTAGTTGTGTGTTTACTATAATGTCTATGAAGTCTAACTTTAAGGCTAAGAAAATGCCAAGTTCAGATAACTTCATTTGAAGAAGCAAGCCATTGTTTCAATTTGCTATCATATCAGTGGTATATTAATACTTCTAATTGATGTGTTTAGAAATGTGTTTTTAAAGGAAAAATCCAGATGTAGATGGGAAGGTATGAACCTTAGAAAATTAATATCAGTGTTGAGAATATAATTGAAACCTCAGAAATCTTGCAGCGTTTTTTTTCCAACTTTTTTTTTGTGGTAAATATATAACATAAAATTTACCACCTTAACCATTTTTAGGTGAACAGTTCAGTGGTATTAAGGACATTCACGTTGTTGTGCAGCTATCACTACCATCCATCTCCAGAACTCGTTTCATCTTGCAAAGCTGAAACTCTGAACCAATTAAACAATAACTCCCCATTTCCCTCTCCCCGCCAGCCTCTGGCAACCACTATTCTACTTTCTATCTCTATGATTTTGACTACTCTAAGTACCTCATATAAGTGGAATCCTGCAGTGTTTGTCTTTCATGACTGGCTTATTTCACTTAGTATAGTGTCTTCAAGGTTCATCCATGTTTTAGGATGTATTAGAAATTCCTGGGGGCCAGCCCGGTGGCGTAGTGGTTGGGTTTGCATGCTCCGCTTTGGCCGCCTGGGGTTCGCGGGTTCAGATCCTGGGCGTGGACCAATGTACTGCTTGTTAAACCATACTGTGGTGGCGTCCCATATAAAGTAGATGGGCACGGATGTTAGCCCAGGGCCAATCTTCCTCAGCAAAAAGAGGAGGATTGGCAATGGATGTTAGCTCAGGGCTAATCTTCCTCACACACACACACACACACAAAGAAATTTCTTCCTTTTTAAGGCTGAATAATATTCCATTCTAAGTGTTCACCACATTTTGCTTATCCATGCATCCGTTGACAGATGCTTGGGTTGCTTCCATGTTGTAGCTATTGTGAATAATGCTCTTATGAACGAGGGTATACAGATAGCTCTTTGAGACCCTGCTTTCAATTCTTTGGCCTATAAGGCCATTTGTATACCATCTTTGGATAAATGTCTATGCAAGAACTTTGCCTATTTTTGAATTCAGTTTTGCTTTTTTTGTTATTGACTTTTAGGAGTTCTCTGTATATTTGGGATATTGTTTCCTTATCAGATATATGATTTGCAAATATTTTCTCCCATTCTGTGAGTTGCCTTTTTACTCTGCTGATAGTGTCTCTTGATGCACAAAATTTTTAAAGCTTCATGAAATCCAGTTTGTTTTTTCTTTTGTCACCTTTGATGTCATATCCATGAAATAATTGCCAAATTCAGTGTTGTGAAGCTTTGTCCTGCATTTTCTTCTGAGTTTTATAGTTTTAGGTCTCACATTTAGGTCATGGATCCATTTTGAGTTGCTTTTTTTATATATTGTTAGATAAGGGTCCAGCTTCATTCTTTTGTGTGTGAATATCCAAATTTTCCAACACCATTTGTTGAAAAGACTGTCTTTTGCTCATGGAATGGTTGTGGCACCATTGTCAAAAGTCATTTGCTGATATGTGCAAAGATTCTGGACTCTATTCTATTCTTTTGGTCCATATGTCTGTCCGTATGCCAGTACCACACTTTTGATAAGAAGTAGTAAGTTTTTTTTGTGTGAGGAGATCAACCCTGTGCTAACATCTGCCAATCCTCCTCTTTTTGCTGAGGAAGACTGGCCCTGGGCTAACATCTGTGCCCACCTTCCTCTGCTTTATATGGGACGCCGCCACAGCATGGCTTGCCAAGCAGTGCATCGGTGTGCGCCCAGGATCCAAACCGGCGAACCCCAGGCCGCTGCAGCTGAGCGCGTGCACTTAACCGCTTGCACTACCGGGCTGGCCCCAAGAAGTAGTAAGTTTTAAAATCAGGAAGTGTGAGTCCTCCAGCTTTGTTCTTCTTTTTCAGGATTGCTTTGGCTATTCAAGGTCCCTTGAGGGCTGGCCCCGTGGCTTAGCGGTTAAGTGCGCGCACTCTGCTACTGGCGGCCCAGGTTTGGATCCCGGGCGCGCACCGACGCACCGCTTCTCTGGCCATGCTGAGGCCGCGTCCCACATACAGCAACTAGAAGGATGTGCAGCTATGACATACAACTATCTACTGGGGCTTTGGGGGAAAAAAATAAATAAAATCTTTAAAAAAAAAAGTCCCTTGAGATTCTGTATGAATTTTAGGATGGGTTTTTCTATTTCTACAAAAAACATTGGGATTTTGTATTAAATCTGTAGATCGCTTTGGGTAGTATTGACATCTTAACAATAAGTCATCCAATCCATGAGCATGGGATATCTTTTCATTTATTTATGACTTTAATTTCTTTCAGCAGTGTTTCATGGTTTTCATTGTACAAGTTTTTCACCTTGGTTAATTCCTAAGAATTTTTTTTTATGCTGTTTTAAATGAAATTGTTTTTGTAATTTCCTTTTCAGATTGTTCATTGTTAGTCTTTCAGCATTTTGAGTCATAAATGTTGGCTGCATGGCTTGACTATAAGATTCTCCTGAAAAGGGAAGGTATGTTATGTCCTAGTCTCAAAATTGGAAATATGAAATTTAGCATTTGAGCAGAGTCCTGCTTATGTCTTGTGCTATAGGGCAAATCTTTAGCCAAGCAGCATTTTCTTAATCACTAATCAATCATAATGGAGAAATAAGCTGGAGTCTTTCCAGCAAGATCTTGTGCGCTGGCCATGTGTTAGGTTGTTTCATTGTGCTCTGTACACACAAGCTTTTCTCAGCTTTTCAGGTCCAAAATGGCATTCAGTGCATACATATTGTTGGAAAATAAGAGGCTAATTGGAAGTGCCAGAGTGGAAAGCAGAATATTATCAAGGCTTAAAGTAGGTACATGCCCTTTCATTCAAAGCTATCTTTTATTCCTGAGCTCTGGGTTGTAGAATGAAAGAAAACCAAATCCCATTAGATTGTATTTACCTGAAGGTTAAAAATGAGTAGAAGAGAACACTTAATTGTGTTTGTTGGGAAACATTTCCTTGATGTCTTTACAGGATATCAAAAGCCTTCATTTACATCAGATACCCATAAACAGCTCTGGGACAAGCAGCCCTGCCTCTTGTCTTTGTATGTTTGGCCAACTTTGTGCCTTAATTGGTTTTTTGAGAAAGTGGGACAACAGTGTTAGGAGCTGGTGAAAGCAAAGAGCTGGCTCCAAGACTGCTGTTCTTTAAGTAGTTTGAATAAAAACAAGCAGAGTTAGGACTCTATCTTTTTGACCAACAAGGTTGGTGCACAGTAGAACTGAAGTTGGGGGTCAGGAGGGACAGAAAGCTGTGAGGTTATTTGCAATTAATGATCTAAAACTGAAAGAGCAAATTACTTGCTTCCTCAAAACAGCATCACCTGTTGCCCTTGCCCCTTCCTTCCCTGCACTCTGATAAATAAGACTCCTAACCGCTTTGGCGTATGCTTTTTTTTTTCCAAATTTTTTTTTTTTTTTTGAGGAAGATTTGCCCTGTGCTGACATCTGTTGCCAATCTTCCTCTTTTCTTTTTTTTACTTTTTTCTCCCTAAAGCCCCAGTGCATAGTTGTGTATCATAGTTGTAGAGTTGTAGCTCTTCTATATGGGACACCGCCTCAGCATGGCCTGATAAGCAATGCGTCGGTCTGCGCCCAGGATCCGAACCAGCGAACCCCGGGCTGCCGAAGCGGAACGTGTGAACTTAACCACTATACCACTGGGCCGGCCACTGGCTTATGCTTTTTAACCCTGATACTGCAACTCAGTACGGGAGGGAAACCACTGAGTACTCTGGCAACTACATTTAAATTTTTCATTTAATTTTTTTGACTAGGTAATTCATGTGGTTCAAAATTTAAGTGACAAAGGATATATAATGAAAAATCCCCAGTCACCCAGTTCCCCTCTCTGGAGGCAACCAGTGTTTTGAGTATCCTGCAGATATTCTTTGCCTGTACACACACACACACGCATGTTTTCTTTGCCGTTTTTTAAATAAATGGTAGCAAATTATTCACATAGTTCCTGCAGTTGTCTTTCTTCCCTTACCGTATTTTCAGGAATGTTTCAAGTCAGGCACATGACCCAAGTGGAGCCAATGAATGATTCTTGCTTGGAATCCTGGAAGAGAGGAAGGATGTTTTTTCTGGAGTTAATGCAGAGGAAGTTTAAGTTGTATAGATGCTTTAGACATTTTTTATTCATTCAAGCAACAAATATTTATTAAGCACCCACTTTACTATGAGAAGAGAAATAGAGAGGCATACCAGATGAAGAGGAGCAGCCAAGTTGAGAGAGAGAAAAACTGCTTTCTGGTAATGTGAGCTTCTGTATTAAATCCTTCCTAAGACTAGCCATATCCCTGGATGTTCAAGTTGTATGAGCCAGTAAATTTCCCTTTTTGCCTAAGCCAGTGTTGGTTGGACTTTCATCACTTGCAATGAAAAGAGGTCCAACTGAATAGCAAATACATCAGAGTTGCCTCATTTTACACTTTAGGAAACTGAGGCTTAGAAGGATGAAGTAACTTACCTGGTATCAAACATCTGTAAGTACTAGAAGCAGGATTTGAATCTAGGTCTAGACTTCTACTTCTGATTATATAGAAGGCCTTGAGAGACCTTTGCTACCGTGATACCAAGAAAAACCTAGACAAAACAATAATTCTCCATGGGGCTAACAAAAAGTGGTATATGCAGGGAA